CGCAAAGGCCCATTAATGGAAATGGGATGAGTTTATGGATTTAAGAGGTTTCACACCCTCTCCATGCTGGGGCGTTAATCCTGGTATTGGCAGATGAGCAGGCCTGGGAATCATGCGCAGGCGATTTCACAGGAGTTCCAAGGAGGCTTTTTAATGTGCTCTGCTCCCAGCCTGGGGTGGGAGACTCACCCTCTTTCCCATCTACTTTTTTTCTTCTTAAAGAACTTGAAGGCTCTAGAATTCAACTTTTATGGGAACTTTTCATTAACCCTGAGTCTTCTCCATGGAAAGGAAGAGGCTTTATAAGAAGTCTCCCTCCAACCAGAAGCTACCAGCTAAGTGGGTCCTCTCTCCTCCTTTGCTTCCCCCCTCTGCCCCCTTAGCAACTCATATTTTATCTTCTTGAAACTGAAAGGCAAATGGTATGGTGCATCAGATTCCCAGCTTCTCAAAATGGAAAACCACCTTTGGCCACATATATTATCTTGTAAAGCACCAATAAGAGGACCATAGTGATCCTGATGGAGTGGTGCATCATGTATCAAGTTATTAGTCTAAAGGTTAGCAGTTTGAATCCCCCTTGCTCCTTGGCAGACTTTTCTTGTAAAGCCTTAGACACCTGATATAGGGTTGCTATGAGTTGGAACCAACTCATCAGCAGTAGATTTCTAATGCCTACTAAAATTGAGGAGGTACACAGAGATAGAGAGAAGGGATTTTGTGGAATAGAGTGCTTGGCACTCTGACCCAGGCAGAGTAGCAGAGCCACCTGAAGTGGAGTTGGATTTGTGGGTATGTAAATTTGTGAGGAGGAAAAAAGCTGTAGTTATGAGGGAGTAGGGGCAACAGGGAGTAAACAGCAATGACTCAACCTCTGTTGTCAATACTATTTCCATTGCTACAACTACTAGCAATGACATCCACACAACTAAGGAGTGGTTTAGCCAGCTTTCCAGTGGAGATCATAAAGCGCATGTGGTACTGGGTTTGCTGATTCTTTATTATGCTAAATCAACAAGAGCAGCCTGGGCAGAATCTAAGCTCTTTTCTCTGGTGATCCCAGCCTGAACTTCTACAAAAGTCCTGATGGGTGTTCAGAAGAGAGAGCTGGGCAAAGAAAGACTCCCCACAGCCTCCAGGAATTTGGCTTACTCAATTATTTTCATACTTTTTTTTAAGTAGACAGAAAAATGTTGACTCACAAGGACCACTGAATACCTGTCACTCAAAATGCCCCACACTTATCTTCCAGTGCCAAGTTGAATTTACTGGCCAGAGATGCCCCAGGGCAGAGGCCCTGCAGCCTGGCGCTGCTACAAGAGTGCTTCCAGCACCCAGTACAGCGCAGCCCCCCTGAGCCAAAGGAGACTCTGAAATGATACGTTTGTTCTGCTTTTGCTGCTGCATTTTCAAGAGAGAATTGATACACTAGAATGAATGGATTATGAGTAAATAAAAAGAAGCTGTCAGTCTCTTTGAAGGTTGTGTTTAAAGGGACTTGCCAAGTTGGGACAGAAGAGTGACAAGATAGAGACCCTGGTGTTTTCCATGCTCAGCTCGGCTCTTCCGCTTCATCTGCACTGCACTAAAGGATGTGTTGAAGCATTGAATCACAAAAAAAAGTGGCACACAAAATAAAAGGTGCCACATCACAATGATTGTAGTGTTTTAACTGCAGAGTGCCACATTACCAAATTCAATTGAAACGCAGGTCTCTACACAACAGAAGAAAACAGTACAATACTTCCATAACTTACAATTAAGTTGAAATCTGCCTAACATTTGACTTTCTAATGAATGTAATAAGATTACATGCCTGAGGGAAGCATTAGTGTAAATGCAACTTTCACATTTAATGAGACCCTAATATGGTGTCTCAGTGGTTAAAGCCCTGGACAGCTACCCAGAAGGTCTGCTGTTTGAATCCCTCAGCTAACCTTCCCCTGGAGAAAGATGTGGTTTTCACAAAGATTTATACTCGTGACAACCGTGTGGAGCAATTATACTCTGTTCTTCAGCGTCCTTTGAAGTCTGAATCGATTGTGGGGCAGTAAGTTTTTAATACAAAACAAAATAGAATTCTTTTTCTCTCAGTCTCGAATTCTGTATTCAATGTCAAAGCTCATCTTTTAGCGAGGGGGTTTAGGAGAGAGTCTGACAGGGATGACAAGGTCCATGACCAAGGGCCTCCTGGGAGCTTTGCGACCCAGAATCTCCGCGTGTCTAGCCAGGACGCGCTGCAGGGTCGAGCTCTGGCCTCGCTTTAATTGCTCTTGGATGACGTCCATGGCACCCGCGGCGCGCAGGGAACCCCTCAGTGGGTTTGAAACTAGGTTAAAGCAATTAGCATGCTGCGGACATATTGTTCTTCGGCAAGGCCATGCGTACTGGGGCGATTCATGCTCGCATCTTGGTTGACCAGGCCTCAGCCTAGCCTCAGAGCAGCATCTCACCTTGATGAGATCTGCTTCAGACCGAGTCTCATGCGCTCAAGGAGCAAGCGCGCACCTGCTGCAAGCGCGTCAGAGCGCACATCGGACCTCTTGGCCAGCCCCGAGCTGTCCGCCCTGCGCGCGGGTTGTGCCAAGCCGGCAGGGGCGCCCCAGGGGCTGGCGGGCTGCTCCTATGTCCGGGTAGGAGCCCAGCAGGAACCCGTGTTTACTGGGCTGATGGAGCGCGCCTTCGCGACTCTCCCCATCGCTAGGGGGCGGCCTTGCGTTCTCCGCCCGAGGCTCATTTTCCATGGTGGTGGGCCTAGTAGCAGGAGATTCTATTGGAAGCGAATCAGTTTTAGCTATAAACCAATTACAGACACAGCAGCGAGAGCCAGCAGGCTCCTTGCGCTTTACGTAAAAGACTCTAGACTTTGAAAGGGATAGGTCTAATCTCTAAGTAGCTGTTGGTGTAACTATAGAGATGACATATGCCTTGGAGAAGCTAAAGAACTATCCCTCTCCCTTAGCCAGAGGAAGCAGAAAGGCCCCTTTAAAAACTTTACTTTTTTAGACCCCTTCTCTTGATCAGCTCCCAAACTAGTCTCCCGCTCCCAACACAGAGAACCAAATATACTCTTTTAATCTCAGCTTTCTCTTCTAGAAAATGGGAATAAGAAATACCTCATGATCTATTTTCCTTTTTTGGATGGAGTCTGGGGTTAAAACCACAAATGAAACTTGTTAAATGCAAATGAAAGGAGTTGAAGATTAAACTTCTCTTCTAATTCCTTTTCAAGCTAAAATGAACAACTATGTGATTTCTTTTAAAAGGTAGTTAAGGTGAGAGTCTTAGTTAATTTTTATAATACAAGTCAGTTCTTAAAAAATCACTTTTATCATCTAGCAAACAAATACAATTTAGAAAAGGGTGTAAATAGCATTTATTAACAAACTTTCATATCTGACAATAAATTAGTGGGACATTTTCTGGCCAGAGTTCTTCCAAAAATGCAGAGTTCTGCCAAAGGTGCTGTGGGAACCATAGGCTATTGCATATTTTTTTTAGAAAAATCAGGATAAATTAGATAAATTATATATTTAAAAAGATAATCTATTTCATTAACTCAACACAATAAATAGATAAATAATAGTTGATTGCCATTAGAAAAAATGTGATTCTTAAATTACATTTTATAGATATTCACATGTACAATATGCACAGGCAAGTCCTCAGCCATGTCCAGGACTTCTCAGGACACAAATTCAAAGGGAGGTTCGTTTTCTATGTTGTTGAAGGAAGATTTACTGGTGAGTTTCCTAGGGTCCTCTGGGGTCCACACCTTGGCTGTTCGAATAATATTTTGTTCTTTGAGTTGTTTTTCATCAGTCCACGACAGTGAGTGTCCTGCAAGTGGAGGGAGGCCATAATCCGGGTCACTGGGGGAGGGAGACCCTGGGGAGGAGGGAAAAAGAGAAAATAGACTGTGAGTATACAACTATATTCCTAGTGGCCCCATATGGCTGGATACCTCTCAGACTCCCAGTAACTGCAACTATCGAGTTTACACTTTCAATTACTCTCGGAAATTTCAAAAGTTGCAGCTGTGGCAGCGAGCACCTTCCAGGTTATGGCCAATGGAGGAAGCACCTGGCACTCAAGGTGGCCCTTGCTCACCACCAATATCTATCTATCAGTTGGCTAGTCAGCCTTATCATTCATCCTCTATGGGCCTTCTTGGGATCATCCTCGCTTCCCTTAGCTGGGCTGTGGAAGAGGCACTTACTGGTACCCCGATGGCAGATGATGACTTTCTGGGCCTGGCTGCCTAAGCCGTCTGCGCCCAGGCGACCACCACCGCCTGGCCCTCCGCATCCGCCCGCGCCGCTGCCGCCACGCAAGGGCAGGTCGGCCTGCACCAGCTCGCTGAGGAAGTTGATGTAGCCGATCGCCAGGCGTAGCGTGTCCACCTTGGAGAGACGCTTCTCATAGGGCAGCGTGGGGATGTGCGAGCGCAGCCCCTCGAAGGCGTCGTTGATGGACTGCATGCGCCGCCGCTCGCGCACGTTGGCCGCCTGCCTCAGCTGCTGCAGCTCCGCCTCGGAGCGCACGCGCCGCCGCCGCCGCGCAGCCGCTGCCGCTCCGCTCAGACCACGCAGCCGGGCCGCGGGGGACAGCACTGCTGCTCCGGCGCAGGGGTAGGCCAGGCACGAGGGCGGTGAGCCGGGCGAGTAGGGGAAGCCGCCTGAGGGAGCCCCGGCCTCGCAGCAGTAGCCACCGCCGTCCTCCAGGTCCCCGTGAACTCCAGCGGGCGGCGGGGCGAGCGCGTGTGGGGCCGCCGAGGGCGCGGGCGGCGGCAGCAGCAGGCACGCCCCGTCGCGGTAGCAGTATTCGTGCAGCTGGTGGCTGAGGAACTCCACCTCGGCTTGCTCGTCAGCCAGCAGCTCATCTCTGTCCTCCAGAGGGTCCCGTGAGGACTGGTCCGTGAAGAAGTCCTCCTCGTCGAAGTAGGCGGACGGGAAGGAGTCCAGCCCCCCGGGAAAGTGCTCTAGCAGCACCGCGTCCATACTCTCCGCCTTCCGGGTTGTGAGGTACTTATTGCCCGAGGTGATTCTTAGGGGATTTTATTTTGCCCTTCTTGTTTTTCAGGCACTTCCTCCCGGTCAGGGCGCGGGATGGAGGGAATGAAGGCGGCCTTCGGGGCTGCCCGCCCCCGCCCTCCCTGGAGTGCCCGCAGCCGCTGCGCACTGCCCGGCGCCCGCGCTGTGCTGGGGAGGGCTGTGGGCGCACTCGCCGGAGCGGAGGGCCGGCACGCGAGGATTCTTATAACTACATCCACAGGCGCGTGCCAGGGACCCGCTGCGCCAGCCAATCACAGTGTGTGGGGCGCCGACGGGGCGTGGGGAGGGAGGCCCGGCTGGCATTGGGGGGGGCGCTCCCCTCCCTCCGGGAGCTCCAGGGGAGAAGAGGCGGGCCCCTTGCCCCAGGGGCTCCTCCTTCTCCTCCCACTCCCTCCCTCCCTTCTGTAGCACTGCTGAAGTACCTGCCACCGCCGCAGCTCCAGGGCCACCTGCGGCCCAGCATGGGCGCTAGTGGGCTATCCACGCCCTGCAGAGGCAGTCCTTCGCGCCTGGGTCTGGGGCGGCCGCACGCCACCGGAGGTCTTCAGGATGCCCTCTGGTAGTCTTAGAAGGTGGAGTGTAGATTACCGTAGGGTCTCCTCTTCTTGGGTGGGTTCCGAAATCGCCCAGTGGTTTCCGGCAGACTGTATCGTAATAGGCTAATTTGGTGTGTATAACCAACCTCAACCCCTGGGCATGCAAGGCTTGTATTTCATCTGGGGAATCTGTCTGGTCCCTGCATCTTTAAGGGACTCTTACAAACTCTGACGAGGAGTATGTCCCAGTGCTGTCTCAATCAGAAAGCTGGGTCTAGGGGCCCACCTGCGGGATGTCAGTAAAAGTCAGACTCTGGTGCCAGATTTCAGTCCCAGAGACGTAGCTCCGTACCCTGCCCCCCCCCCAAAAAAAATGGGGAAAGGGAAGGGGCTGCTGATGAGAGCAGCTCAGTGGGGCACGTTTCTTCTGAGAGCAAATCAAGACCCTAGGGGTTCTGAGCAATAAAACAGGAAACAAAAGAAGTCAATTGAATCTTCAGTTCTGGAGCAGTCCGGTGGGAGGGCACTGAAGTTAAAGGGCAGAGTGTGAGCCTTTTTCAAAGCAGAGTCTCTCACCTTTCTGACTGGCCACCGGGACCATCCCTGAGAGCTTTTTCCTTCCTCGACCTTTCCATAAAAGAATGGAACACAAAAACGTATATGCTTTGCCCCACGACAGACACACTTGATCGCAAACTGCAAGGAAACACGAATTCCTCAGTTTAAAGGCAACAAAGGAACACTTTCAAGGTCAGGGCAATTCCTGTTAGTAGTAAAGACACAGCTTTCACCCCAGGATAGTAAAGACAAGGGTAGTCCTCTTTCTGTAGCAGCTGCTTGCTTCTCAAAGAGATTTGTCTCTGTGAGAGGTTCTGTTGAGTGTTCAGACTTCCCTCAAAATCAAGATCCATGCCATTAAGAACAGGGACTTAAACCCATTTCTTGGTTTAAAACATTACATTGTATTTAACGGAATTCTAAGACCAAAAAGTTAAAGCCTAAAGAAATGTAAGACCAGAAGACCAGAGCTCACCTAACTGGAACAGCCAAGAATTCCAGACAGTTTTAACCCAAAGACATTTTCCCCGCTTCAGGTTCTTTTGTAAGTTAGTTTGTTAACCCATGCACCTTCCATAGTGAGGAAATTATCTTTAAAACTGGGACAAATGTGGCCAGGCTTCCTGTGACAGAGCCTGAGTTGTAATTTTCTCAATTTAAATCTATTCTTGTTATCCCAGTGGGAGAAGCACTATTGGTGGGAGTGGTGAGTGTGTAGTCAAGACCATGGATCTAGCCAGCTGGTAGTATTCATTCAAGTCTCTTGACATTTAAAAGGCCTCAAATCCACTTCCCTCATTTGGTTAGAATAAAACTCAATGGAAACATAGCATTGGATCAATCTGTAGAGTTGCAAGAGTGACCAGCTTTCAAAGCTTTTTCCAAAATACTGATAACCATTGAGACTGGATAGCAGCCTATACAGGCTAATTTATGACAAAGTTAAAGACTAAATCTGATGCATTTATATGGCCCTTGAGAAAATATATTTGTGTCACGGATGTCTCTGTGTTGGGGGAAGTAGGAGTTGGTTTATCATTATCTTTTGAATCAATGCAATTTTAGCAGCTCTCACAGAAAATCATTTTAGGCATTCTTCAATTTGTGGGTACCCAGCTGAGCTAATAGGAAATTTGGTAGGAAACCTTACTGTCTTATGAGATTGGTTAAAACTAGCATGGGGGTTCTGTGTGGCTCCTAGCATGGACAAGCATGGAGTGAGGAAAGAGAGCCATCGTTCTGTGGTTCAGGAGACTGTTGGCAAGCTGCCGACTGGTCCTGTGGGAAGGCTAGGCGAGGCCTATGGATGCTGATGGTAGGTGAGCTCACAGAGACACATGCTCTGTCCTTAAGTAAGACATGATCGTTCTTTTCTCTGGTGAAAAGAAGAAAGAATTTTCTGCTAATAAAGGGGAATTTTCTCTGGGTCACTGAAGGTCACAACTGTGTGGACGGCTGCTCCCTGCCACTCAGAGCAACAGATTGGATGATGAGAAGGCAGGGACTGATCCATGTCCTGCCCAGCTTGGGCCCCAGCACTCATTCTAGGCCCTCCCTCCACACCCCTCAGATTCTCTGGGCAGTTGTGGCACATGGAGATTACCAAGGCAAATGGTTCCAAGTACTTCAGTGTGGAGAGAAGGAAAGAGGCTTAACTGTCCCAGAGGTGTCAGCCTCCAAATCCTCTACTAAGGTCAGGTTTCTCTAGCTTCCTTCCCTTTCATGAGAGAGTCTTTAACGTTAAAAAGAACATTGTGACTCCTTATAAAATAACATTTCATCCTCCAAGATTGGCAGTGGAGGGAGCACTTGGTTTCTCCTACCAAGTGCTGATGAGGCCTCAAGAAGTTTTCAAGTCTTTAACAGAGGCAAAGTGTGACCTGGGCTTGGAAGACATCATAACTCTTTCTGGACTGCTCTAGGTCCAGCCCCTTCTACAAGGTTATCAGTACCAGCAGCACCATAGGTAAGGGCCACTGACGGTGCATCAGTCTTTCTCCTGTGTTCTCTCTCTCTCCTACTTCCCTCCCAAGAGTCTCAGGAATCTAAATACTTATTATTTGTTTTCATCAAATCTCCAGAGTCTTTTTTCCTACCTTTTAAGACTAATAGTGAATGATTAGAGCCCAGGTTGAATTTGAGGTAGAGATACAAATGAAGACAGAGGCAAACAAGTTTTCAGTCCTTCAGCTTCCTCACTACACATCCCCTTAATGCTCACTACTGTGTGCGTCCTCCTTGCTGAATTGTAGCTTCTACAGAATTGGATGCATTTGTGTTGCTCCCAAGAAACCCTACAGTACTCCCTCAGTGGCTGTAAACAAATATTTGTAGGTGTAACTCAAGGTTCCTCTCCAACTTGAAAATGAGTCCAAGCAATTTCTTCATAATTTATTGTTCCTTCACCTGCTTTCAGAACACAGAGGTGATGACACATGGATAGTTTGTTTTCTCTTTATTTGTAACCCTTCCTCCCTGTCGGTCTGTGATCTCATTTGAGAACCAAATACCTTCACCGGCCTACCTTTTATCCTTATATCTAAGAAAAGGATGTGAAACGTAGACACATAGAGTTAATTTGGTAAGGGCTTTGAGGCCCAGAGAGGTCTAGTCACTTCTCTAAGGTTACATAGCAGGCACTTGAGGGCCAATCTACCTTGCTATTGTTGTTAGGTGCCATGAGTCGAGTACCACTCTTAGTGATCCTATGAACAACAGATGTGAAACTTGTCCTATCCTTTGCAATCCTCACCATCTCTGAAATATAATCTCTGAACCCACTGCAGCAGTCATGGTGTCAATCCATCTTGATGGGGTCTTCCTTTCTTTTACTGATCCTCCATCCTCCCAAGTATGATATTCTTTTCCAAGGAATACACTCTTCTAACAACATGCCCAAAATATGTGAGATGAAGCTTTGCCATTCTTGCCTCCCAGGAGCACTCTGGTTGCACTTTTTGCAAGACATACCTGTTCATTCTTTTGACAGTCCATGGGATATTCAGTACTTTCCCTCACAACAACATAGGCATCAGTTCTTCTTCTGCCATCCTTATTCATTGTCTGGTTCTCAGATGCATAGCAACTAATTTAAAAGACCATGGCCTGATTCAGGTGCACCTTAGTCTTCAAATGCCTCTTTGTTGCTCTTCAGTATTTTGGAGAAGTCCCTGACGTGGACTTGCCCAAAGCAATATGTCCCTTTATATCCTGACTGCTGGTACCAAGGCTGTTGATTGTGGACCCAAGCAAGATGAATTCATTAACAGTTTTAATCCTTCCTCCATCTATCATGATGTTACACAGTGGCCCAGTGTTAAGGACCTTTGTCTTCTTGGTGTTAAGATGCAATCCAGTTTGAAGGCTGTAGTCTTTAATTTTCTACAACAGCGCTTCAGGTCCCCCTTGCTCTCAGCAGGGTTGTGTAATCTGCATAGTGCAAGTGGTTGATGAGGTCAATGAATCTTCCTTTGATCTACAATGCCACAATCTTCTTCATAGAATCTGCCTTCATGAATTATTTGCTCAGCATACAGATTTAACAGGTATGGGGAAAGGATACACTCCTGACACACACTCTTCTCGATTTTAAACCATATAGCTTTTCTTTGTTCCATTGGGACAAGCTTTTTGGTCTAGACTTGCATTTCATATAAACTCAAGTATTCTGGGATTCCCATCCTTCTCAAAGTAAGCTACAGTTTGTTGTGATCCACACATTCAGGTGCCTTTGCATAGTCAATATAAGAAAGATCGAATGGTAAAGATCCGGTGTGAAAAACAATATATAAATTTTGTAAGTAATATAGTATAAAATAAAAATTTTATTTTAAAAATCCCCCAAAACCCCAG